CGAACAGTGTAAATCGTTTTTTAAGGATTTAAGATATAATTACAAATCTCATTTAGTGTTAAAATGCATTTGTTTTAGGTGACTATAGAATTGAAAATTACTTTAACGAGTCTAGAAATTTGAATATTTGCCCCACTGGACAATTTTCAACAGGTGGCAAAAACATCTAATATCAAAGAAAAAACAATATCCTGGTACAATGTTCTATACTGTGATAAAGAAACAATAAATCTAGATAGCTACATGTACATGTAGCCACCTGATAAAGAATTGCTGAATATAGATTAATCTACTTCCACTATAATAGAAAAGAAAGGATATAGGGTATCCATCCTGCTATTTAACTCTTCGGATTTAGCAGAATACAGTAGTCTTTTAGTGATTTTTTTTGCTAAGTCAACTGATTCAGAAAACCTTCCTTTTGAAAGTTCTAACGAGAGAAGTTTCGCAGTCAGTTTTAATATATGAGTATTAGAAGGACAAATGTTTGTCCTTACTCTACAGAATAAATTATCCCAATCTATAATATAAAAATAAGGAGATGAGGTATGATTGCCAATGAGACAACTATCCACCAAAGTTCAAATAAAGTGGATGTAAGCAATTATAGGCAACCATATGGCCTTCAACAATGAGAAAAACCCATACCGTATAGTCGGCTATAAAAGGCCCCGACAAGAATATATAAAAAAAAATCAATTGAGAAAACTAACGGCCTAATTTATAAAACAATTAACCAAAAACAAATATGACAGACATGAACCAACGACAACCACTGAACTACAGGCTCCTGACTTGGGACAGGCACTTAAAGAATGTGGCGGGGTTAAACATGTTTGTGAGCGCTCAACCCTCTCCCTTACCTGGGATAGTGGTGTAACAGCACAACATAAGAACAAACTATAAAAATCAGTTGAAAAAGGCTTAACTCATCAGATCGATACAAAGCAGAAAAAACATCAAACATAAACACAGACCGGACGTGGCAGGGTATTTATCCATCACTCATACCTAACAACAAAAAGGACACTAAGTACAGATCTGAAAGTACTCGTAGTTACTGACAGCTAATTCAAAGCCAATAACAACTAATAAAAAAGCATGTATCTAAGACTAAAATATCAATCAGTACACATCCAACATCCAATGGATTTAGTGTAAAGACGTCATTAATAGTCAGAGAAAAACATGATCTTGTTTTATAGGAATTAGAACCTCTGGAAACCAATGTATCCTAGGCCACTGACGAGAAAAAAACATCTGATACTATAAATGCCTCAATAATAGCTTTGTAATTATACAAACCAGAGGAAAAATGCATAGGTGTTCATGTTTTCCATTAGTATAGGCACATGAGTGATTATGTGGATTCAACAACATACATGTATAATCTTTTGTCCAAAGATGTCACAAATATGCTTGAGATTTCTGTCGGTCAAAATTTGTATTCGACTCAATCGATTGCCCCCTCCCCCCCCCCTAAAAATGATGTTTGGAATAAACTACCATCGTACACCTAAATTAAAATGACAAAGTTCGGCGATTTGTGTGCTGATCAGTACAGTTGATCCTGATCAAAACAGATTAGTTACCCTAGATATATCACTTGTAATTTTTTCGTATTTTACAGTTTCTCTTTTTCTCTTAAAGTTTCTGCGAAAATTGCAAAAATAAAAGAAGATAAAATCGTCTTTCAAGGACAATTACTCCTATAAGGGGTCAATTGACGCTTTCGGGTATATGACATATCTGTAGATCATATAATTCTAAAAGAATTTGCAGTTTGCATTTTTAAAAAATGCAAAAATAAGCAAAACTCGTGTTACAAAGGCAACTTTTGCAGTTGCAGTTTCTGAAAAAAAGGCAAACATTTGTAAAAATTTCAATGGTAGTTTTGTCTATTCGTAGATCTATTGGTTCTGGTCATTTTTACTATTTAAAATTTCTCTCTATCTATAATAGTTACAAGATAATAACCTAAAACTGTGAAGTAACCAAAAACAGACTTTTAAGGGACGATGGCTCAAAAATAGGTCGTCCGATTTTTCTGAAAACTTCTAAACAAATAGACCTTAACCTGCTGATCATTTTTACCGTATGTCAGATTTGCTCTAACTGCTTTAGTACCCAAAAATGCATTTTACTCACTAAGTTCTATTTTTATATCATGAACAGTGGACATTTTTGTTGGAAGATCAACTCCCCGTAAACAGTTTTAGCGTGACTATTTAAGGAACATTTATGGAAATTTTGGTTATATTTGGCTCAATAGTTTTAGAGGAGAAGTTTTTTTAAAGTGTACTACGACGGACGTGAACGACTGACAGACAATGTTTTAAGTATTGAGGAAACAAATCTAATGAAGGACTACGATGCGAGCTGGGACTATTATACTAATTATATAATATATTAGTATAATAGTCCCAGATGCGAGAGAACAGTTAACAAATCTCTTCGTTTTTTAATTCCTACATTTTTCAAGAAAAGAAACAAGGCTCTGAGAAGTTGATTTAGTACTTATTAGAATGCAAACTGTCTTTAGCTTACATATGTCAAGTTCACCACAAAAAAACAACAATTAGGCTGTCGGTCAAGAAATCTAGAATTTAGTTTATACCAATTTCAGCGTTCTTTTCCGTTAGAAAGATTTATCTTCTTATATACCATTGGTACATTAATTACATTAACATGACGTTAGTCGAAAGCATCCCGAGAGGTAGCTGGGGTATATAGTAGTGTGGTTACCAGGAGTTTTGTTATCCGGCAATAAACCAATGGTACAGTTGCAGTGTGTCTGATCATATAAATACACAGCCATGTTTGTCAGGAATGGGAACATTAAATCCGATGCATCGTTTACGGAGATGTTTATGTTCTCCGCACGCTTAAGAACCATCGCAACAAGTAGCCGAGGATCCGTGAGTGGCATGGTGGAAGGTACAATTTCCGGAGCTTCACCCCGGTCGTCTAACTGTGCAGCCTTTGCCTATTGGATTAATTGTTAATTTGTTCTGGTCATGATTGGTATGAAATATTTGTCACTGGATGTTAAAAAAAAACCAAGCAATCAATCATTTCACAAACAAAAAAACCTAACCCTCCAACGAAAAAGATAAAATAATAACAAAAACACGCCAACCCAGAACCTAAAAAAAAAACAACCAAACATGCAACAGAACAAAAAAAAAAACAAGAAAAAAAATAAACAATCAAAATGTCAGTTGACGAGTTGTTGTCGTTTGTCATGTCTTAATCATAATGACATTCTGTCATGTGGAGAATTTTGTATTCATGGTAGATTTTTGATGGAATCTGTTTATTTTAATTTCAACTTTATTTTAGACTTGGGGCGACTAGAGTTTGGCGTATGGTATGGACACTTGCACATTGTTGAAGGAAGATTGTATTCGACAACTAGATATCTCTAATGCAAAAATGGATAATATAGGTAAAAACCATTTTTCAAGTGCAGTAAATCCTCCAAGTGGTTGATTTTACAATTGTGGTAATATTGACTTAATTGAAGACCTTATTTTGCTGAATCATGTTGATATCAAAAGTTTCTTTCTATCTATAATGATTTCTGCAAAATGATGGACAAAAATCATCGTTAAAGTGCAATAACTCCTCTAAGGGGTCAATTGATGATTTCAACCATGTTGACTGGTTTGTAGATCTTATTTTGCTGAAAATTTTTGCTACTTACAGTTTCTATCATGCCTATTATGATTTCTGTAGAAAATGGATACAATCAGTAAAAAACCATCTTTCAAGTGCAATCACTCCTTCTAAGGGATGAATACGATGTTGGCAAGGTTGACTTATTAGTAGATCTGATTCTGCTGAACATTTTTGCTATTTACAGTTTCTTTTTATCTGTAATGGTTTCTGGAAAATGGGCAAAAATTATCTTTCAAGGGCAATAACTTCTATGAGGAGTCAATTGACCTAGACCAATTTAACCTCTCTATTATTTGTGACCCTATATCCAAATTTAGTTTCATTTCCAACACAGGTTCTTAAATTATAACCTAAAAACTTTTTTTTCTGCATGCACTAATTTGAGTCTCCTTTTAATTTCTGTGTACTTGCCCATCAACAAATTGACCTCAAGAATGATCGGGATCTATTATTAATACAAGTGACCATATATCAATATTTGGACCTGTGTCACTGCATGCAATTGTCAGGTTCTAACACACTGTTACTGTTCTCATCATTATCAAGCTGCTGAAGAAATAAAATAACATTCCCTTCATTAGAAGCCAAGAAAAGTTTGATGAAAACATTCTTTTTAAAATGATTGTTGAAATTTTTTCAAACTATTAACAAAAAAAAGAAGTTGCTGCATGGCAGATGTAAAAACTTACATGCTAAAATGAATAAATAATAGCAATTGGTGCAAAAAGACTGTAGCCTTACAGACAAACTGTATCATCATAAACTGTTGACACAGAGATATGTTTTGTAATTTTGATAGTATAATTCAATTGTTGAAATTAAAAAAAGCAACATTTAAACAAACCTCACCTTGTAAACTATGTAAAAGTTCCAAAATCAATAAACCATGATGAGTGGGTGGGGCCATATAATTTCCATGGAAATGAAAATTGCAAATGCCAATACATCTGCATAGCATTGACTCATCATTAGTGGTTCATCTTAAACTGAAATAATCACAAACTTTAACATGTAAACTAAGCAAAAGTTTCAAAGTCAAGACCATGACTGAGGGGGGCGGGACCAAGTAATCTCCATGGAAGTGAGAGGTGCCAATGCTTATACAACTGCATATCAAATATCATTGACCTACCACTAGTGGTTCCCCATTAACTAATCTAATCATAAACTTATACATTGTTGATGATGTGGCTGGAAATAGAACACCTAAGTCTCGCGTTTTCTACTTCATCAACACGAGACAAAAATCACCCCATACTGAAACACTGGCTATTGTGTGGACAGTAAAGATTACTCCGCAGGTTGAAAGAAATCAAGAATTCATATTTTAATATCTTTAATTTAATGAATCATGTTTTTATTTACAGATTAGTTATTTATATTCTAACGAAGTTTTTAATAATGTGTGTACATAAATAATCACTTAAAACAATTATCTTAACATCATAATTAAGGTGTAAAAAATTTAAATAGCTGAACCATTCTAAAAAAATGTTGGTTTAAATAAAAAAAAATCTAATAGGTTTTTATTAACACACATAGGTTTTGGAATTAGGAAAACTAAAACATCTTCTTGATAAAAGTAAAAATTGATAGAAATGGTTATAAGTGGGTTATATATATATGTGTCTTTTCTGATTTTGATATCATATTTGGGTAATTTGGGTGAATATAGTTCTTTAAATTTCACTTATATCAATCCTTACAACTAGCATATCGAAAAATATTACATTAACATTTTACCTTTAAAATATTGGGTTATTTTATTTCTGAATTAATAATTCAATTAATATAGGATATTTAATAATTGGAAGTCAATATGAATCATTTCAAAGGTTACTGAATATAAGCTGCATAAATTAAAAAATGTTAAATGCCCATTACAATCAAGGATAGTTCCTCAACAAAAATACTTTATATTGAAAAGTGATGCCATAGTTATGTGGAAATACACTATCATTATGGCAAATTATTGTTATAAAAGGGAGATAACTATCAATGAAAAAAGGTTGTAACTAAATGGTTTTGTGCCTACAACATATATCACATGCTTCGAAAGACTATAATGAGATTAAAAATTTTTTGGTATATAATGTTAAATATCAATCTAATAGAAATTATATTTTTAGTTGCTTCTTTCCTTTGATGTAAAAATGTAAGAATCTGAGGAAAAATAAAAAATAAAAGAATATATCTATTATTACCAGAGACATGTTTACACATATACATGTCTCTGATATTACCAATGCAATGTACATTTGTAATATTTATCTGTAACTAAATATAAATTTTTAAAGGGTCTAAAAATATCATCATATACAGTATCTATGTTCCAATAATACATAATTAGATAAATAAAATAAATAAAAAGAGTATGTTAAATGTATAAATAGAGAGCAGAATCTAAAATTGCAAAAAAAAAGAAGAAAAAATACAGAAATAAATTTAAAAAAAAAAGATAATTAAGGAGAAAGTAAAAAAAAAAGACTGCATTTGTTTTCACGATACATCATAACTTTAAGAACTGTCAGGAACCCTCAAGTCTAAGAACAATATATAAATAAATAAAAATAAATAAATAGTTAAATAATCCTATAAAAATGTAAAAAAGACGAAAATTCTGATTTAAAAAAATTGAAGGTTGAAAAACAAACAAAAAATGAATTCTCATATATTTAAGGAGCTGTTTCCTCAGATTTCACATTTTATATCAACATTCCATAGCAACCTTCGATATAACTTTAATCAGACTAATTCTATCTCTAGTTAAAATAAAAGTTTGAAATGTTTATAACAACTGTACATTATGTATAACAAATCAGTATATATATATATATATACACAATTCTTACTTTTTATGTACAAAACAATATTTTTGATTGAGTTCTCACAAAACACACCGTTGCAGATGATTGTGAGGCTACAGAAAATGAGATACTTGCCTTGCAATATTGAGGGGAAAAAGAATTGATAATGGGCCTGATGGTCTATCAATGAATTATAAATTACTTGAAAAATCGATAATGTGGGTGAATTAATTGTAGAACACAGAAACTGAAATAATACACCATTGGTGTGATTACCATAGTTTCAGATCTTTTTGGTGGATGCTTTTGAAAAAAATACACAGAATTCCTAAGAATCTAAAATGGCGATATATTTTTGGGGGGTATAAAATAATAATCAACTGTCATATAAACAGTTATATAAATCTACCTACATACCTAATTAATTGGGTTGTGGGCGTTGGTTGATTATATCCCTTATTGATTATTCATACTGTAATATACTTATTTTCAGATAAAATAAATAACCCACTAGAAAAAAAATCTTCGTTCAAAAGGTTAATACTTAAACTTGAGGAGGAATGAGTACAAATTCTGACTTCTGATAACAAGTATCTCATTTCTGTATAATAAAATGTTTGCATATATATTTTCTTATTAAAAACTTAACAATTATTAGTCAAATATATGATTAAGGTAAAGTTCTGCTGCTTATGATAGTTTTCAGAAAAGGGTTCATTTTTTTTATGTGATAAGAGAGTACATTACTTTCATAACAAAAACTTGAAAATCTTGAAAAAGATGAAACAGTTGACATATATCAGATCTATCTACTTCATAGATGCAGTTTGTATTTTTTTCTAATTCAAAGCCACAGAACTATACCTAAGTATGATGTGAACAAATTAAAACAACACATTAACAATTTAAGGCTAAATTTAATGTTGCACTTCCCTATTACAACCAGCCCTACAAATATTGCCATTAAAAGTCACTTTTCAGATCTGTATACTATACTGACATAACTGTTTTCTGTCTTATTATTTCCATTATTTTTATTTGTCAGATATCTTTTGTGATATTTCTTTTAAATAGTTTTGTTTGTAAAATCATATAAGCTGCTTTTATTCTGTTCTTTGAATTTCAACACACATTGATATATAATAGTCATCAATATGATTAAAGTTTTTAAAATCTAAAAATTCTACTTTCAACAAAACAGAAAAATAACAAAAAATAGTACACTATGATGAAACAGATTTAACAAAGCAGTGATTTAACTTATATGTTTTCATTTGAAATTTTCTACATGTGAAAGTTTTGAATTTTAAGAAATTTAAAAATTACCTCCCCTGAACAATAATTTTTCAAATAGCAAATTCACACCATTTACTCATTTAACAGAGTTGTGCCTAAATTTATGTAGTTATAATTAAACTATCATTTACTAAATATCATATATATCTATAATCTACTTAAAAATTAATAATAAAGTTTGTTGTAGAAAGCACCCTGAGCTCGAAGCTAAATTTTCTATAAAAAAATGTTTCATGGTAAAATTTTAGTTTCTAGGACATACAAAATAAATAATTAGCTGGTATTGACAGTTTTAAATTTTGCAGTAAGGCTAAAAGTTTCCAAATTTAATATATTTATGTTCAACCTGAAAGCACATGGAACAATTAGTCAGAAAAGTTCAGTATAGAGAATTCTTTTTTTTTTTAATTTCTGAAATAAGTAGATATATGAATTGAAAATTTTCGTTTCTTCAATAAACAAGTGTCATAATTCATGATTTTTAATATTTTCTGGCAAAATGTAAAACTTAGATATTTATAATTATCTAATTTGTCAACGTCATTTGATTTTTCAAAAATTATATAAAATATTTTTTAAACTTCATCGATGAATTTTTAACTTCAACCTTTTTCGGGAATAAACATGTTTGTTTAGAACTGTTGTGCTTTGTTCTTTCTTTTCTCTATTAAACCATACTTACACATGAAATGAAAATGATTAACTCTCTCATTTATCTCTTAAATCTATTCCTGATTCCTGCTAATTCTTATTGAAAAAGGCAACCTGCCAGATCAGCTAAGTATTTGTTTTTAGTCCTAATTTAAATTCTAACAATGGATCAAGTAACTTGTACACTTTTTTTTGCCAAAACAGTTTTTATTATTTTATCTCATTTACTTCTTTTTTTATCATAAGTAAAAATCAGATCTTATCATCTATAGGATGAAATTCCAACCAACATTTTATCGCATGGCTCACATTTTAAAATGTGGCGACCATATGGCACAGGAAAAAACTGAAAGTGCAGGTACATTCAAAAACTGTTAAAATTAAAAAAAAAAAAAAAACACGAACAAATGTGTGGTTCTTGCAAATAAAACATCATCAACACTTGCCCGGGATTTTTAAAATTTTTTATTACCCACTCATTAGATTTTTATAATTATTAACAAGAAAATGTTAATTTTAGATTTTAGACCCCTAAAATTCAAAGAATTTGTGAATAAACCAAAACCATAAAAAAATCCTCCCTACTAAAAAGATGCAAAAGTTATTTAAAGATGCAGGAACCACATTCATTTACCTATTTGACCTTTACAAATATATATTCAAACAAAAGCTGTAATGTGATGTGTGTATAAATAAATTCATAAAAACGGTTAAATCACAGATAAAATTCCAACGAGGTGAGATTCACACAGTGATGTGACGAAATCTCTACACATGATTCAACTTTTAAGTACTTCCAGGTCAAAATTTCACCAGGTTATAGATGGCAGAAACTAGCGAGATCATCCAATCAGATTGACAGCAGATGACAGAAAACAAAATGGCTGATTTTTTAATTGATGTTTTGATGAATACATTGATGTGACAAAGCTATGATTTTACTATCCTGAAATGTTTATTTTCCGCTAGGATTGAGTGGGATTGGAGAATTGGCCTGAGAATCATTTGTTTTAACATCACTCGTTTTACTAGAAGTGTCTGAGTTATTGTTATTTGTATTCTCTCCTTTTTCCTCTTTTTTCTTTCGCTCTTCTGCATCTGTCAAAGAAATAAGATATTACATTTTAATATAGATATTTTTTTAATTTTTAGGTACCTTAAAATATACAATCAGCAAATTTTAAATGTATTTCCTGTATTAAAGCAATTTTATGATGCTTTTGTTTTTTGTTTCAGTGTTGTGGTTAAAGTTTATTTTGTTCATCCTGCCAGGGCTTTCCCATTTTATGCATGGTGGGGTTTAATTAAAAAGTGCCTTCTATATTTTTTGTCAGCTTTGTGGTTGTATATTGTTTCTATATTTTGTGTCAGCTTTGTAGTTGTATATTATCTCTATCTTATATTTTCTGGTTACTTCTGTTGTTCAATCTTTAGTTTTCGGTGAAGTATTGTGGACTTTTGTTGTTTGTCCATTCTTCTGGGATGTAACAGATGGATGGTAACCCCATAACTAGAAACTGTGAGCATAGCTCACAAATCTATTTTCTGATATTCAGATACATATAATAAGTAAATGTTTTGTGGCATAAAAACCCCACCAAATTATTCGGAATATTCTAATATTCTAGTCATTGCTTAGAGGCAGTAGCAGAAACAAGATGTCTACACTTTTTGTAGATGAGGCAAAAACCATGTTTCGCTGTTGGAAAACCCCAAAAATCATTTAAAAAATCATAATGCCATTCAATACTAGGATTCTGTGAAAGTTAAATTACAATTCCATCCATTGGTTAAGAGATACGGGTACAAAATGATTTCCATTAGATTTTTGTAAATATCAACAAGAAAATGTTTTTTTTAGATTTTAGACCCCTAAAATTTTAAGAAATGGTGAATAAACCCAAACCATCACAAAATCCTCCCTCCCCAAAAAAATATAGGTAGACACAACAATCACTTTATACAGCTGCAGGAGTATGAAATGTAAAAACTGTCAAAAAAACCTACCTTTTGCTGCCCTTTCCTTCCATATCTGTTTATTCTTCACCAAATGATCAAGCCAGGGCTTTAGGAATTCAAATTTTCCATCTGAAAAAAAAAATAACATGTATATATTTGACATCTGTTGTTTGCATATTTTACAAATTTCATGTATTTTAGCCTAGTCTTTTACATTTACAAGTAATAGTGAAGTTCATATGAAAAATGTTATTAAAGACATTATCAAATTCTGAGTTAGTTTTTTCTGTGACATTACAAGGTAATTAGCAGTCGTCAAGCTTGGCCACAGACCCAACTGCCCATACTTGTAAAATTTCTGTTGGGTCTGTTAGAATTTCTAATACAGTTTCTGAGGACTAAGCTCATTGCATGGCAAAAAAACAGGATGCTCAAAGTTCATAATCACATTTATAATTATCTCCCCTGAAACTGTATCAAATCCCTTTAAGTGTTAATTAAATCTGTTGTAGTTGTTTGATTCAATCTATATAATATATCTATAGCCTGGGAGTACATGATTTATTTGTTGGTTCTAAAATTGACTTTGACCTAGCTTTCAGCAATTGCAAAAACTCTTTTTTCTGTGCTTTTTGTCTGTTTTTATGTTATTTGTTTTTGTGCCTCATACCGATCTTTTGAGTTAAGCCAATTGCAACTGATTTTTATAGTTTGGTCTTATGTTGTGCTGTTACACCACTGCACCAGGTGAGGGGAAGGATTGAGTGCTCATAAATATGTTAAACATTCTCTATGTGCCAATCCCATGTAGTACAGTGGTTGTCATATTTTTTTTGGGTAAATTGTTTTGTTATAAATTAGGCTGTTAAGTTTCTTAATTGAAGTTTCATATTTTTCATGTCAGGGCCTTTTATAGCCAACTATACAGTATGGGTTTTTCTCATTGTTGAAGGTGGTACTGTTGCCTATAATTGCTTACATCCACTTCATTTGAACTTTGGTGGATAGTTGTCTCATTGGCAATCATACCACATCTCCTAATCATTATATAGTCCAGGTTTTCAGGTTACCGACGCCTCAGATTATTTAAGTTTCAACTTATCCAGCAGGTGATTTACTTATTGATTGGTGCTTTTCACCGCATTAGCACAAAAAGGCTATATCACAGCAAATACTTAAAAAAAAAAAGAGTTCTGAGTTTTAAGTCGTAGTAACCTGTTCCTTTACCTGAACCAAGAAGTTTAGGAGTTGATGATCGTGATGATCCACTTGAAGAGTGTAAGCTTGTTGTGCTCGTACTTTTGTCTTTCTTCACATCATATGCCTGGTCTTCATTTATCGACGTTCCTGAACCACTCCTCTGCTCTTTCAATAAATTGGAAACAATCTTTTCCAACATGTCTGACATAACCTGAAAACTTGGATCGACGATGAAGTCAATGAAACCTGCAAAGTAAGAAACATTTTTCACATAGTAATTATAAAGTAAATTACTGTAATCTTTATCATACAATACAGTTTTTATCTAAAATTGAGTTCCAATATCAACTTACATCCCATAGAGCAACATATTGTCTTTTGAAGTGATTTCTGTCGATAAAAATATTGTCTGCAGTCATGCATGAATCAATAATAGCACTTTTAGCAGGTTCTGATCATTTGTTTTATTTTAATTCAATAGGTAATTGAAGGTTTAATTAATTTGATCAGAATATATTGCCATTATCAAAAAGAGGGAAGTAACTCACAAATAGCAAACAATTCACTAATACTGTAACTAATCATTTATGAAATGTCGTTTAGAAAGAAGTTTTCATACCCAAGTCCGACCTTTATAAACCAGTGCCTTATATTATAGTAGGTGATTATTTTCATTCAATTTCATGACGCAGACATTAAATAACTGGACTTGGATGGTAAGCATTATATATCATAACCCGGGCTTGACTCGGGTTAATAGTGAACCTTTTATTATGTGCCAGCCACACGCCTATTTTACAGTTGAGTGATTTTTTGTATGTCCAGGTAGTATATAAGGCCAGGTGACCTGAGTAGTATCCTCTTTTATTTCAAGGCCGCACGCATTTAAGTACGTATCAAGCAGACCCTGTTTGATCGATACACATGTCTATACTATAGATTTTCAAATGGCAAGGTCTCGTAGACCATCTTCTTCAGAATCTGAAGATGAAAGAAACTATGAGGATATAGATTCTATTTCACAAACTGTGAGTACAAACGTAAAAACTAATAAGAAAACAGTGGTTGTGCCTACAGAAAAAGGACCTGGAAAAGGTCCAGGCAAAAATAAGAAAGGCAAAGCACCTTTGAAAAGAAGTATTCAAATTACGCAGGACGAACCGTCCGCTAGCTGTAGTAAGCCAAAGGCTCCCAGAAAAACTTCTAAAAGTAAACAAGCTCAAGCCGAGCAAAATGAGTTACTGAAACAATTATTTGCTGACTTATCTAGTAATATTGTGTCTGCAATAAATGTCAATAGTAGTGGTACTGCAGGTCCTAGTAGTGACTCCCATAGTTTTATACAGGAACTTGAAGATAATGACATAAATGAGGTCGAAAATGACCAAAATGTTTTCAATTTGTTTGAAACTGATGATTTGTCTGAACATGAGAGTAATGTTGATCCCACACAACTTGTCGTTGAAAGTGAAGACGAGGAGTTTGATTATGAAATGCCAAAAATTTTTGAGGACGATGAACGGTTTGATTCTGAGGTCAGCCCTTCGATAGCATCAGTCATAGAAAAAATTTGTAAGAAAAAGTCGGATGTTACATCTTTGACTAAGGATAGCAAGATACCTAGCAATTGTAAAGCTTTAGTACCACCACCTGTCAACCCAGAAATTTGGCAATTTTTAGCCCGTAGAGCTAAGACTGAGGATTTGATTTCTCAGAATATTCAAAAGCTAACAGAGGCAGGCATGGTCCCTTTGATTAAGGTGGCGGAATTATTACGAGGGAAAAATCCTTGTATTAAGACAATGAGAGAGTTAATTTCAAGAGCTATTTCTATACAGTGTAATTTGCATTTTGAGCTATCTATTAAAAGGAGAATGAATTTGAAGCCTCATATTGAACGTAAATTCCATCAACTGTGTAACAGAAATGAGGTCGTGGGTGAAAAACTCTTTGGAGATGATATTAGTAAAAGACTTCGGGAGATTAATGATGCACAAAAGATAAACAAAACTTTCAGTTCAAAAAACTACAGAGGCCGATCCTATCGGCGAGGGTACCGGTTTGGTATGTCAAACCCAAGAGGCAATTTCAGAGGGCAGAGCCGCTACCCAAGAGGGTCATACAGGCAACCCATGATGAATTCTCAATACAGAAGAAAAAATTGAAGGTTGGTATTACATGTAAACATGTTGAAAAAGTTGGCTTAAACATTGGTAAATTAAAATATCATATTAGAAATTGGAAAAAATTAACATCAGATAGTTGGGTATTAGAAACAATTACTGGTTACAAAATAGAATTTGATGAGATACCAGTTCAGAAAATAATTCCAAGACCTATAAAATTTAATAAAAATGAGGAAAGATTAGTTGATACAGAGGTATCTGATATGTTAAAAAAGGGAGCAATTAAAATTTCACACCATGAGAAAGGTGAATTTATTTCAAATCTCTTTCTTGTAAAAAAGAAAAATGGAACATTTAGACCAGTTATTAACCTGAAAAAATTAAACAGTTATATTCAGTATTATCATTTTAAACAAGAAACTCTTGAAGTTATTTTGAAAAGCATCTCTAGAAATGCATTTTTTACAAGCCTGGATTTGTCCGAGGCATATTGATCTGTAGCGATACACGAAGACAGTAAAAAGTATTTGAAATTTATGTGGAATAACAAATTATATAATTTTGAATGTCTCCCATTCGGAATAGCTTCGGCTCCAAGAATATTTACAAAAATCATGAAAGTGGTATTTTCACATGTGAGACAGTTAGGCATTAGTTCTTTCTTTTATATTGATGATTCCCTATTACAAGCACTTTGTTTCGAACAAGCAAAAAGAAACACACATTTTGTAAATGATTTAATAGAATCACTAGGTTTTTCAATAAATATAGAGAAATCAAATTTTATACCTTCACAAAGAACAATGTTTCTGGGATTCATTATTGATTCAGTTTTGTTCAAGGTATTTTTACCAGAAGATAAAATACAAAAAATTATAGAAATTTCATACAAAGTGTTTGAAAGGAAGATTACACAAATTCGTATGGTTGCCCAATTAATTGGGTTATATTCTTCATCTTATCATGCAATTACACTTGCACATTTACAGCATAGATATTTGGACATTGACAAAACAAAAGCTTTACAAAAATCTTTTAAAAATTTTAATGCTCATATGTCTTTGTCGGTGGAGAGTAAAAATGAGATTTTATGGTGGATTCAAAATATTAAAAAAGAAAATGGTTGTCCAATTCGACAAGAGCCTCCAAAAGTTTATTTACAAACTGATGCGTCGTTGATAGGTTGGGGTGCAGTATTTGAGAAAGATTGTACCCAAGGTAGATGGAATATAGATGAATGTCAGAATCATATTAATGTGTTAGAATTAAAAGCAATAATTTTGGCATTGCAGGCTCTTTGTAGATCTGTTAAAGATTGTCATATTTGTGTTAGAACAGACAGCGCAGTAGCGGTTGCATACATCAATAATCAAGGGGGATCAATATTATCGCTTTTAAAACTTGCAAAAGAAATTTGGTTTTGGAGTACTGAAAGAAAAGTATTTATATCTGCGGTACATATCCCAGGAAAACAAAATACACAACCAGATAATTTATCTAGACAATTTAATGATTCTTCAGAGTGGAAACTAAATAGTTCAGTTTTTGAAAAAGTGACTTTAAGTTTATTTAACCCAGAGATTGATTTGTTTGCGTCTCGTTTAAACAAACAACGGCCAAAGTATGTTAGTTGGTTTCCTGATCCAGAAGCTTATGCTTCAGATGCATTTTCTCTCTCTTGGAGTAATTTATTACCATATATTTTTGCTCCTTTCAGTCAGTTGCCAAGAGTCCTACAGAAAATAGAAGAGGACAAGGTAAGGAAGGCATTAATTATAGCTCCTGTTTGGACCACACAAACATGGTTTCCAAAATTATTAGAATTATTAATTTCTACTCCACTAAAATTACCAAATTGGTCAGATCTATTAACTTTGGCTCACAATGGTCAAAGACATTCAATGAACAAAAGAAGATTATTCCTTATCGCTTGTATTGTATCCGGCGATATCTCATTGATAAAGGCTTTTCAAAAAGAGCTGTTAGAATTCTCTCCGAATCATGGAGAGATTCAACCAATAAACAGTATGAATATGCTTGGAGGAAGTGGATTTTGTGGTGTAGTAAAGAACAAATTAATTCCACTTCTCCATCTGTGATACAAATTTTGAATTATCTATCTTTTTTGTATGAAAACAAAAAATCTTACAGCTGTATTAATTCTCATAAATCAGCTATTTGTCAGACTCTGACATTAATGGGTATGGCTGAATTAGCAAAAGATAAACACATAACTAGATTTATGAAAGGCATTTTTAATTTAAGGCCGTCTTTACCTAGATATACATTTACATGGAATGTTGGTACAGTTTTGAAGTACTTATCACAATTATATCCAAATGAGAATTTATCTCTAAAAATGTTAACTCTGAAATGCATTGCTTTATTTGCATTGTCATCAGCTCAAAGATCACAAACACTTGTTAATTTAGATCTGAGATTTGTATTTGTAACAGACAATTCTTTGATTTTTAAGATACCAGTTTTACTAAAAACAACTAAACCAAACAAATCTAATTTGGATGTTATCATACATAAATATCAAAAACAGGATATTTGTCCTGTTAGATGTATTAAACATTATATTTTACGGACAAAGGATGTTCGAAAAAGTAAAAATTTATTCATTTCTTTTAGAACATTCAAACGTGTTACAACTTCAACTATTGCTCGTTGGTTGAAAATAGTGTTAGGTAATGCAGGAATTGATATAAACAAATTTAAGGCACACTCATATCGTAGTGCTTCAACTTCAGCTGCTAAACAAGCTGGAATTTCACTGAATGATATATTAAAAACTGCTAACTGGAGGTCAGCTTACTCTTTTCAAAAGTTTTATTTTAAAGATATTGAAACTCCATTGCCATCATATACTGAAACAGTATTTAATTCTTATTTATAGCTAGTGGTTTACAGGAACTGTATGGTGGACCAGGAGGATCAGCTATGGTTTTTCTACGTACATGTTATGATGTATCTAGCATTTCTGCGAGATGAATGGTTTTTGGACATTCCATTTGGTTTTTTGCAACAGGAGTTTGCTTACATTTGGAGTTGAATCGAACAGTTTTAGTCAATAGCATTAAATTTCGAGAACGTTTGAGAAGAAGCATAGAGAAAATGTGATAATTTAAGAATAATGAGAAAACAACAGTGTTATTTTGTTATATTTGTTACATGTGAGAGACATTTTAAAGTGAACTTTATAGAGTATTAATTGTTTTCTGAAGATTGTAACAGATTTTTGTTTTTGAACATAATAAAAGTTATTATGAAGCTTATGTCTTTATTCCACAAAACAAAGAAATATTCTATTATTTCATGATAGTCATTGCAATTCTGGGTAGTTTTGGAGTAATGTTATTGAGACAAAATGTGATAATTTATGATCTACTACATGTACATATTATGTAGAGTGGTAGTTAGGTTTTCTACTAGAGGATGTTTTATATTTGGTATTAATAGATAATAGAGACTGTTTATGATTTTGGTATGAAAACAGAAACATCTAATATATGGAATAAAAGGATAGTAGATAGACATATTGGTGATTGTGTATTCTCTTTCGTACAAGTGATATACATGTATGGAGACAGATGAATTTTCTTTTTATCTGCAGTTAAATACTTTGATATGATTTAGGCTCATACATAGATACTTGTTAAAGTATGAGAGACCAATTGTTTGGTTATGGTGATTGATGTTCTTGTTGTTCTTGTTGGTATTTGCATTTTTGGCTGTAAAGAGTTCACTATTAACCCGAGTCAAGCCCGGGTTATGATATATAATGGACCATCATCCAAACATCTGTGATGTGATGGATGAAGGTCATTATATGAGGAAGCCAAGGGCTTCCGAGGGTTAATAGTACCCTCCCTAGTGAAAACCCATTCCCGATGAGGTTTGATATAAATGCAAATACTGGTCGTGTTACTACCCATTTACACTGGAGATTTTACTGTTTGCCTCAAAATAAAAGAGGATACTACTCAGGTCACCTGGCCTTATATACTACCTGGACATACAAAAAATCACTCAACTGTAAAATAGGCGTGTGGCTGGCACATAATAAAAGGTTCACTATTAACCCTCGGAAGCCCTTGGCTTCCTCATATAATGACCTTCATCCATCACATCACAGATGTTTGGATGATGGTCCATTATTTTTATTTCGCTGCAATCATTCCTAACTACCTTTAAAAGGCTTGTATAGTCCGCGGTTTTATTCTCCAAAATTGATCCTGACATCAGGGGTGCGGACTATAGAGTACAATAAGCAAGATATAAGAGAAAAAATTTCAATTTTGCGATGTGGTTTGTTTACATTCCGCCATGTTTGTTATTGACATTGTAGAGGGCGCTCTTATCATTTTTCAAACAAAAAATTTTACCCAATCCATATTAATAAGTTATTTTTATTCAATATCAAATTAATACTGATAAATTTAAAAATTAAATACTTCATTACAAAATTCTTGTTTCTTTTCAATGCATTGCTAAATATAAACTGGTATCTGCTTGAATGAAATCGTATAAAAAAAGTAAAGAAAGACAACCGTAAACCAGCTTACGATGTGTAAACTACAACACGCAATCGGTTATTATTCGTTCCGTTTTGGTGTTTCCTATTGACAAATATGTTTTGTATTAGCTTAAGACCCTTCAAACATTAATGTGATAGATATATTAAACATGGTTTTACATAAGGAGGGAACTGTTTTACTTTCAAAGTCGTATTATAGTGATATCTATTATGTACGGATTTCGACTCTCACCGGCTTTTTTCATCTTTTACACATGCTTTTCAAACTTCCGGTTTAAACATACACAAGTTTCTAAATTGTTTTTTGTGTGATTTTGATTTATTTTAACCAGCGTGAAGTGTTTTAGAACCATTTACAAGCAGTTTCAGCTTCTGATTTGGTGATTGAAAATAGGGTTTTCCAAGAAAATACCGCAAACGACCACACACGATTTAAAATTACCGAAGTTTCATTTGACCTTTTCTAACAGTTACAAAAAGTTTTTTTACCTGAAATTTCGTGGGGAGAAGGGGATGCGGACTATGTACCAGTGCGAACTATACAAGCCCAATTACAGTACCAACCGTTCACTGAAGCAATGAGCTAAATGTTTTACCAGTTGATCAGTTTGTAGAGGTCAATTCAAACTGCAATTAGTATTGTGAAAAACATTCTGAACAAGCACAGTAAACATTTAATAAATTTGCTACTTTTTTGGGACAGACAAAAATCTGATCAGTCCGACAAAACCTACAACACTGTCTGACCAAATGTCAGACAGAAACCAAGAGTTTGGCACAGACTGTAAGTGCATGGTTTTGAGTATGGTACAGACCCAACTTCAACTTTACTCATGTGTGAATCATTTTCAGAATAATTGATGTACAAATTTTAATTATTGTCAGAACTCAAACATTGATGATAGCTTTTCTCTGAAAATCCATGAATTATTGAGAAAGCACCAAATCTACTGAAAATTGACTTAGGCAAACCCAGAAAGAGCAAGAGACACTCTTTATTGTAAGATATTAGTAACTATGATGTTTTGTTTAAATGAGTACCAATTGCAGGATTAATTACACTCCAAGTCTGCACATGAATGAGACTTTAATGCCAGCTACATGCATTTTTTACTTGTATATGTGCATAAATTACAGAATTTAATGCACTCCCAGTCTATGCTTGAATGAGACATGTGATTCCACTCATTCTGATTGAATGTCCTTACCTATTTGTGACTCTGCTACAAGAACACCACTTCTATCACACAACGGAGAGAATGGCAGACCTAATTCTTTTTCTCTATCTCCTTGTCTAAAGAATTCTTCCAGCAATTGATTTGTCCACTTGTAATGCAAATTCCATTCTTTAGCAGGATGACCTATATCTGCACAATGTAGCACCATGGATAAAGCTTTAGCCTTGTCAATGCTGAAATTTAATTGAATTTTAAACATAAACAATATATTTCAACATTTTGAGGCAATGCGGTCTCTATAAACAATTTTCCTCAGTAGACATTGTTTAAATAAAATAAGTTCCCAATTGAGAGGAACAAATATATGCTGTTTCCTGTTCTAAACATTAATTAAAATCTGCTTTTGAAACAATCTTTAGTGCTATTACATTTAATATGTCATTTCGGCAACACAGTTTACCTTGTAAAGTAAGTAATACAATAAAATTGGTCTAACAGAATAATTCTTTTGACAAACCCTCTTTGAATTAAAGTGAAAAATATCAATAAAATGTTATGTTAAGCTTTTGCCAATTCCCTGAAAATGTAACAATGCCTTAAAACACCCATAAAACCCATGAAATATATATTTTGTACATATACACACTCTTTTGGTGAACAGTAATCTTCATTTAAGAATATGTATGTTTGGGTAATTCTACTTCAATACTATATCAGACATGCACAAGTATTACATAAGAAAAAATATGTTATTAAATTCCCCAAAAAAGGAAATCGAACACTGTCTGAATATTCCTATTAAAATCATTGATAATCTTCCAGCTGATTTCCAACACTAGGTTTTGTTGAGTCAGGTGTCTCATCTGTTCTTGCTATGGTTCTTTCAATTTTATAGACATTTCAATGTTTTTATATGTAAAAGGTAATAGATCAGAAAAAGTCTCATTCAAATGATAAGATGTTCCTTAAAAAAAGGTAAAGATTTTATTGGAAAAATATATGCATGACTGAACTTTCCAGAAATCATGAGCTGCAGCTATAACATACCTTTCTGGCATACTCAGCAAACCTTTCAGATTTTTAATTTGTTGAAAATGGAAAGACATATCTGTAGCGAGAACCATATCTATCACCAGGTTACGAAACTCTCTAGGAAAAACACAACAAATAATTAGTAAGAATAACAATAAATGATTAATTCTAAAGAAAAGTTCATTTAAATTATCAATCCAAGGAAAACATGTTTTTTACTTTAGTTATGATCAGCTAGATTTTATCATTTTTTAATCTGTAGTCCTTGGTGACCTTTTAGTCACTTAAAAACTATTTTTATTCTTTCTTTTCTTTTATATTTTCTAAATTGTAATGCAAAAACATTACAAATTAGTTGAAAGGGAGATAACTCAGAAAGATTTTGTTTCACATCATATATTTCTCATAGTTTTTACAAAACAACCTGAAGGCTACATTGTCATTTGCAAACTGACTGGTTGAAGAAAATTTTAAAAAAAAATGCATAATAACTAAAGAGCACCATTCCAATGTTCCCTTACTGATGCACATATTACATATTTTATCTGTCCAAAGGCAATAACTGTCATATATTTTTGCTTGGTTCTTTTAAACTTTTTTATAGATATCCTACAAGAAATGTAGGCATGAGATCCCATATGAAGCCATTTTCCAAAAAAAATTCATATTTCCAAGGGCATAACTTCTGTAACAAACAGACATTCCAAGTGGAATAACTCATTTCAGTATAGTTTATCTGCACTAATTTTTGAATTTGTCGGAGACATAAAGATATTAAAATGATTATAAAGATTGGCTTTTTAAAAACTTCCCTTTTGACATCTTGTGTCCTATAAAACTGATGTCACATATGATAATGCTGATATTTACTTATGATAATGCTGATATTCACTTATGAAAATGCTGATATTCACTTAAGTCATACAGATGTTCCATAATTGAATGTCTGTCTGTGAGATTGTGTGTGTGTGTGTGTAATTAAAATTCTATGGTTTTTTGTATTTTTTACTTTAATCATGAAACATGATACAATTTTATAATTTTTTTTAACAAAAAAAATTTTTCTACAGTTAGGTGGCTTTGACAATATAAACTTACTTATATTCCTCTCTGCTGAGATTACTTAGTATATTGCTGTCATCGTTTTTCATCATTCGGAATGAGGCACTGATATGGTAGTTTTCTAATACAGCTCTGTCATTGTACAACAGAGCAACTTCGGACCTGTAATGTAAATTTTCAAAAATAATTCAAAATACGTATCTTTCTATCCATTAAAAAAAATTGATACAGGTGTATATTCATGCATCAACAATATAGAAATTCTGAAATTACTAAATCATGAAAAAAGAAATGATATTCATATGAAATATTGCTATATATCTGCCTAACAGCATTTGTGACTGTACTTGGTTTGGTTTTCCTCTCTATAAGGTTCTTATTGCATATTTGTTTTCACAAGACTTTGTTTTGTCCATCTGTGTACTTTTTTTGGGGGTGTTGGATCCTGTAATATAAGTAATTTTTGGGGTTCAGTTTTTGAGATTTAATTCAACTTTTTTTCATCTTTCTTCTTGTGCTGCTCGAAGTGAAGATAAAAAGTTAATCTTATCAAGCTTAGTTCAGAATAAAACTCTCATTTGATAAGGGCTATTCCATTAAAATGTGTGTGGGAGGGTAGGAAGGGATTTTATTATTGATTCTAATATGATGTCCTGCTAACGCTCGGTATAAAGATATTAACAAATATAATGCCTACCCATGTTAAAATGAGCATAAAGCATGGCATGAAAGAATTATTTCTTAAATGTGGGTCATGGGTCTTTTTTCAGTATGCGTCTACTACCATTATGCAAAATCATCTAAAAAATGGTTCTTGGTTGTAGGGATATTTGAAAGTCCCTTCCTACCCTCCCACATACATCTTAATGGAATAGCCCTAACCTTGGTAGTATCTGTGAACATTAATTTATCCTTACCCTGTCATTATATGAAAGTTATTTGTAGTTCCTGTGTGTTCATAATCATGTATCAAAGCAGCAATAATTGTAGCAAAAATTTCTATATCTGTCAACCAATGCTGAAAAAAACAATTCTTATGTGTAAAAAATAGTTCAAATATACAGTGTATTGACTTTGGTATTCTTCACCTACAATTTGTTTGGTTAATTACACCTCGAATTTTGATTCATTGATAGAAAGTGTATTTAGATAGTGTATTTTTCATATATTTTTTGTTATCAGCTGCAGATAAATTTTTGTTACTGTGGATTCATTCTTATTTGTGGGATACTTATTTTTTATGGATTTCCTGGGTACAGGTCAACCATGAATTTAAATGTTTAACAAATTACAATTTTCTATAGGCTTGTATGCAGACTTGGGAAAAACCATGAAATTAAATACCCATGAAAATACCCCAATCCACGAAAAATTGGTACCCACGAAAATAAATGAGTATACTTTTTTACCTTTCATGGAGATGTGAATGGTCAGCTTTGTTAAATGTGTCAATTTTTGCTTATGTCTTGATAGTGAACTTTAGAATAAGGGAAATAAATTCTAATGCTTAACATAACCATCTCTTTTGATTTTAGATGTAATTAAAGAGATATTTATCATGTTTGGGAGGGGTATTTGTAAAAAGAAGATATTTTCTTTGCTTAGTAGTGCATTACATTTTACATTCTATCTACTGATATTTTTCAAATACCCTTCCTGCACATAATTTATCTGTTCAATAAATTGATTTAATGAAAAGCTTCTTCAAAATATATTCCAAAGGCATTTGTGTTTTATTTTTACAAACCAGCGACTCTTTTTACAAAAAAAACTTACAACTAAAATTGATTGTAAGTTATACTGAAATGTTTATGAAAAGAGCCCCAGATATTGAAAGACACAAAACTGTCTTGATTTTATTTGTTTATTTGTTGATAGTTTTGTCTTCAGTTGCATGGTTTTTAGATTCTCCTGATCTAAACACACTGACAATTATAAACAATAAAGTTGCTAACCTTCTACGTCATTTGTTCTCCGGTGAAGAGTTGTCTCATTGGCAATCATACCACATCTTCTAGTAAATTCTTGACAAAAAAAGAAGAATTATTTATTTTTTCTACAGAAGGAGAAAATAACTCTGAATCAAAGTGCTAAAAGAATTTGAATAACACAGGTTAGTGAAAAAAATACCATCAAACTTATTTCATATCATACTTACCACTAATTTACTCTGGTTTAATATCACATGCACGCTCTGGGCTACGTCTGCACCATGTAAAAGGTTGTGGTAGGGGTTTTTATATTTGCTATATCCTATTTCAAGATTTAACAGGAAAGTGTCCAGAACAGTGCTGTTGATTTTATATTTTGCAATTATATCATATTTTTGTAAGAGTTCATAACCAACAAATTTCAAAGAATGATTGTCAGCGGCATCGTTCACAGCAAAAACATCAAATCCCCATTCATCTAAATGCTGAAAATAGAAAAAGAGGAACAAATATTAATGCTGGTTAATTGAAAAAATTACTTGTTCAGCTGTACATACAATTTAGCACATTTTGAAAAACTATAACAAATCAAATGCTCAAGTAAACTGAAACAAGTCTTACCAAGTCATTCCCAAAGTTGCCGGACATAGGGCAAAGGCCAGTAAAAATTGGTTTGGTCCAGTTAAGTGATATGTATTACTGGACCAAATGACCAGTAAATTTTTAATTTTGTTCAAATCATATGTGTAAATGTCCTGTAAAAAAGAGCCTGTTCCAGTTAAGAAGAAAGGTTTACTGGACCAAATGTCCAGTTGATTTCTCAAAGCCTTGGGAAACACTGCTTAACTGAAATTTTTTATCAGTATATGCAATGAAAACTCTTTTTAATTTTAAATGTGGCAATTTTTCGAGATAGGTGCTTATTTGGGCATCTAAAAGCTTTCAATTCATCTGATCAGCAAATAAAGGTCAGCTCTGCCGCTCAGCCAAAAAATACACTGGGTTGATAATGCAATTTACAAGGAGCTTATCTAGTCCAACAACACGAACTACATGCAAAAATGAGTAAATGAGTATAGTCTTAGTAAACAAAAAATACATGTTAAATTATTCTTTCCTACACATCTATATAAGAAGCAGCAAGTAATATCTATTTTTAACTATTCTAATATTCTAAGTTTTAACTTAGAACTCATATTCAATTTAGAGTTCTTGCATGTCCGTGTAAACTTAAACAACTTTAACATAATACTTGACCCTGACCTTTAATAACAGTAGAACATGGGGTGGAACGTGTAATCCTGTTGAACTTGAAAGTCTTCTGTAAATTCTGAAATTGAATTCAAAATAAATACAGCATTTCGAAATAAAAATGCACTTCATGAAAAAAAATTATTACATATTTTTAAAATGCACTAGTTAGCTTACAAATCAAATGGACATTCATATACATTATATACATGTGTTTTGTCATTGTAAAACCTTTTCAAAACATTTCCCTCTTAAAATCCAGGTAATTCAACCTACGTCTCTTTGAATTATTTCAACTTTTATGTCCATAAGAATGGACTTAAAATCATTGAATGCTTATAATGATAATATTTCTTATATTCCTTTTCTAATGGAAGGTCAACTTTTCATTGTCTTCACTAAATAAAAAACAATAATGAACACGAACATTATAGAATACAGTTCTAAAACTGACTCCATTTTATTAAAATTAAAATTTGTATACTTTTTTTCATGAACTGAGATTTTACACTGCCATATCACCTTGGTGATATTTTATTTGTGATTTAATGTAGCTCTGAATATATATTTTTCATCATATTTATTGCGTTTCTTATAATGGTTGCTTTGATGGATAGCTCTAATCTGATGTGGTTTCTTAAGTTCTAAACAGCTTTGCCTTTAATTTAAAACAGGATCTTGGCAATTTTAGATATAATTCTTGGCTAAACTAGATTAATGATGTTACCTGTCAACCATAATACCAGCCCGTATGGCATGAGCAACACTTTTGAACTTTGGTTTTTCTTCCCCTCGTCTTTTGATATTGCTCATGGAGCGTGTGAAGGTCAAGGCTAACCAATCCCGAACTTCACTCGGAACAGCATCCGGCTCAACCTCACTGAGCTCGTCATCTTCATCACAGAGACGCCTGAAAATATATTTCACAAGTTGTTTATTCATTTTGTCGTCTCCCTTGAATAAGTTTAACCTTCTCCAAATCTGCAATAGAATCAGCTACTAAGTGCGCTTTTACTTCAAGAATATAAAGTGTCTCAACTGCAGACATTCACTACAATAAAACAACACTATACATACAGCACTGGTCAAGCTGTTGTAATCACTTCAGTTACATACACTGAATTTTCTACATTTTGAATAAGAACCATGATAACAATCCCAAATTTTCTGTGTCCAGGGACAAAATCACTGAAATTATGATTTACATAAAGAATTAAAAAACTAAAATCTTTAATGTGAAGAAGCTATTAATATATATTATCATTCACAGAAGAAAAGGACATTTAAATCAGTACATGTTTTTCAAAAGCATTATATAAATATTAAAATCTTGCTGTACAAAAAATTTCACATAAGGTGTCAATATTGTGACAAAATTTACTTTAAGTAGTGTTTATTTATAAAAATACCTTTGCAGTCATATTTTTGAATACAGAGAAACCATAAGATTAGCATCTACATAAATTGGTAAATTCTTTATTGTCCAAAGACCAGACAATTTGGAATTTTAAAAGTACAACTACACTTACCTGTGAACTACTTAATAGGTCAAACACTAAATTTCAGACCTTTTAAAATTCACTTGTTCTAAACATTGGAAAATTAATAACTATTTCTGGATTATGTCATAAAATAAAACTGTGTTTAAAACACATTTGGAATATGACTGGAGTGCAATTATAATATCAATCAATTCAAGAATCATTTAACAACTTTTTAGAATATATGAATTTTAAGAATTTGTTCCACTAGTGGGCATCAAGAAAACACATTTAATAAAAGATAAAATTACACATACTTTCTGTGCTTTTCCCATTTTGAAAGGTTGCTGTCTAGTTGACCTACACAATTTCACTCATGCACTTTTTTTCAATAATTGACAATCTGCTGTTAATAATGGTTGTCCCAATGATGTTGCATAATACTGTGACAAGAAAATTGAAAAAAGTGAGAAAATAAATGGATATTTCTCATCTGCAATATTGGAAATATAATTACAGCTTTCCAAAATAGAATCCAGTAAAAAGTAAACGTGACATATGGGGCAAATCTATTATTACACAGAGAAACTGACATCTGAAAATGAAGAAAATTTGTTTCAATAGGAAAATCACACAGCAGACCTCGTCAATGTGGAAATCAGCTGCTTGAACAATATCGATTTAAACGAACGCGACAATACCCCCTACGGATGACAGATAGAATTGTCCTTCTTTTCTTGAGGATTTTATTATCTTCCCTTCCTTTGCTTCTATGATTTTACTTTACAATACATTGTTCAGTCTTATTCCCGCAGTGTACAATTAGCGGAAACCTTAAGAAATTTAAGAAATAGAATTACAGAAAAAGAATGCTTAACAAAATTTAGAGTTTTCTACCTTAATTAAGCTGATAGAATCTTTTGAAATACAAGCTTATTCTTTTTCATTGATGTGAAACAGTTGAGAGTTAATTTAAATTTCAAACAAAATTTAGAAATAGAATGTACATAATTTTTTTAGGATTTCATTTGATAAGTTCTCAAACTGGATAATTAATATAAAAAGAGACTGTGTTAAACAAGATAAAAGAGTTTTCAAAAGAACTTATACAGCTTAAAACTGATTAGCGCCAGTCGTATTTGTGGAAAAAAATATAAGCAGGTCTGTAGTGTAAAAACACTTTTAGATCTTTTCTATTGTAATTGGTAGTCAGCAGAACTAGTCTACACTAGTTAAAAATAATGTTGTCCTTCCCAGAAATGTATAAAGGTACAAGTTTACAGATAGTTGATTATTTGTATCTTACCCTGAAAAAAACTTCAGATGAACAAAATAAAAAAATATATGATTCCAATTTTCTATGTCTGGTTTCAAAATTTCAGGATACTTTTTTGTGATTAAGTATAAAAATAAAGATAAAACATAATAAAAAAAAAAAAGAAGAGAGTATATTCATCACTAAATGGGAGATTGAGAGGACCAGATTAGATTTAAATTAGGGTAAAATTTACAAAAAAAAGATTCAAGTCAAGGGAAGGTACTTATCACTTTATTGCTATTTGGAATTGAACATCAATTGACATCAATCAGTCTTTCAAAGTATGTACGGTATACACATTTTCCCTTATTTAGTAAAAATTTTACAGAAACACCTTTACCATCCTATAAAAGGAGACATAAATAAAACTAAATCACAGTACAGACTAAAAAAAGAGAAGCAGAAAGAGAAAGGAGTTAAAATTTGTTAAGCCTTTTTAAATATTTCAGGGGTCCCTGTAGATGTAATTTAGGGTAAAGAAGCCCATACACAACTTTCGAATTTGTTTATTTCCCATACTTTTCAAATCTCACAATACATCAATTGGGACAATCAATGAAATTCATTCAGGAAAAAGGAACTGGAAATTAGTCTTTTATCAACATACATGATAAGAATAAAGTTTTTGAATTTTGAACTGAAGAATAGACTCATTGGCATTTGTCTCATTGGCAATCATACCACATCTCCTTATTTTTATATCAATACCAGGACAGTGATCTTTAGGTTAATATCAGATGAGGATCCAGGATTTTTGTACAAATTTTCTAGTGGAACCTGTTAAGAGGTTTGGATTAACCATAAGTGAAACTCCATAAGGGGAGCCCCGGACCTGACACCGCCCCCCCCCCCCCCCCCCCCCCCCCCCACCCCCCAACTCAAATTTGTTTTATTTCTTTTGAACATGCATTTAGAACTGGGATTTCTATTACTTTCTCATGTAACATTAAAAAATTGCAGGTTATTGGTAAAGGTTAGTTTAGTTAACAGCTCTATATATATGGGTTGAGACCCCCAAACTGTAGGCCATAATTGAAAAAGGCCAAATTTCTAGTGAAAAAGGTATATCCATCAAGTCATGTTCATCCAAAAGTTGGGAGCATATTCTTCAGACTTGTAGCTCCTACAGTCCTTGTGATTTTTTATGTTTTTGCAGACCCAAGAACCATAAGAGCTTTGGTTCCACAGCTAATTTTGACCTGCAATTAAGTTAAAAAAATTCCGAAGACTAAATTATTTTGTAATTTTTATCAGGACAGCTAGGCTCTGTATTCTGTAAATATATATATCATTAGACAGGAGGATCACATGTTTGCTGCATTGAATTGTACTTTCAGTTTGTATTTCATGGGTTTCAGTTTTGAAAAGGCCTAAAGAAAACAGGCCAGAAAACATGTCAATATTTAGGAAACCTGCCAACCCTACAACTTGATGAGACTTTTGGATTGGGTTCAGCTAAATTTTATTGGCTTGGAGTAAAATAATGTAAAGTCAAAGAATACTAGGTACAATAGCTTTCCTTTTTCTATTCCATACACTGGAATGAAAAAGTTGTAATGTCAGTGGGAAGTGCAAACTTACTTTGTTATTTTTATAGTCACTGGCAAGTCCTTATCTTTGACTTTGTTTTTCTTCTTCATACAGCTGCATGGGCAAATGCAACAAGTGCGATCAGACATTCCAGGTGTTTATAATGCTTCCAAAAGCTTTCACAAGTTTCTTTTAAGTCATGCTTCCTTGTGGTTGCATAACTTATCACAAAAAAACAACAAACCTGCACTTTCAGGACTACTAAATGTTATGACATCATAACATAATGGATGTCACTTCCTGTCTCCATGACACAAATATTGTGTGCACATAAACTTATGACATCATAATGAATACTTTTCTTAGCATAAATTAATGACATCATAAAACATACTTTTCTCAGCATAAATCAATGACATCATGATGCATTCTTTTCTCATCATAAATTAATGACATCATACCTCATATTCCATGAATGAAGTTTTTTTTAATGAAATTTTCAAATTGTTTGCTTGGATTAATAAAAGAATACTTTTAAAATTTATATTTTTGGAATTTTTGGACAATGTTAAGTTTTCATCCTGGAAGATAGCTTAAATTTATGGAAAATTAATTACCTTTCTTGAATCACAAAACCTGGCAAACTTTCTATTATAAATCTTCATTCTTACAAATATTACACCATCATTTTTTTTTTCAGGATAAATATAGTAAAACTAGAGTATTTATATTTTATGACTAATAAGGGAAAAATATTTATAATTATTTGACAGAATAGCATTTTCAATCATTGAGATCACTTTTATTAAAAAAGAAAAAAGGCTTCGGTTGTTATTTACAATTTCTTAAAAAAAAAATTACATAAGCAAATAATTGTAATATAAACATACAGTGACCTATAGTTGTTAATTTCTGCGTCATTTGGTCTCTTGTGGAGAGTTGTCTCATTGGCAATGATACAACATCTTATTTTTATATATGAATTAATTATTAAAAGGACATAAATGAAACAGAAGCTTAGAGGTCATAAAAAGACAAGGACATCTAAGAGCATACATGTGATTCTTCCGGCGGGAGTCAAAATCTCCCGCTTTTCAGACCCTCTTCCGTCCCTCCCGTTAAAATTTGAAATCTTCCGCTTTTTGAAAATGTCAACCTCGTAAAATTTTCATTAGACATTTTTGTTTACAAAATTGATACGGACAGAGAAAAAGTCCGAGAAACTCGAAATTGATATGGGAAAAGTCCGAGAAAAACGGCAGTTTCCTGTAATGGACTTTGTGTCAAAAGTTAAAATAGGTAAAATTAGCCTGAGGTGTTTAGGATTAAACTGTATTTACAACAATATATAAAAGATAATAGGCAATTACCTAGTGATCAACTAGCAAGTTTAAGACACAAGCCAGGTTGATTAAAAGTGAAATACTGACAAAGGATTAAATTGTACAAGTTGTATAAACAACGATTTAATTTGATGCTGTTGAAAACATGGAACATTTACTAAACCTCAAAGACAAATGAAATCAACTCAAATATGATATTTATGGCTTGTTTTCTATCCAAGCCAATGGAATACCTATA